TTTTGTAGTTTTAGTAGAGACGGGGTTTCACCATGTTGACCAGGATGGTCTCGATCTCTTGACCTCGTGATCCACCCGCCTCGGCCTCCCAAAGTGCTGGGATTACAGGCGTGAGCCACCGGGCCCGGCCAAGAGGGTAGAGTTTTCAACCCTGCCGTTGATCTTACAGCCCAAAACAGGATCAAGGATGCAGAGGAACATTTTTTAAAATTCATAGTTGTGAGCCGGGTGATGGGTACATGAGACTCCATATATTATTTTGACAACATCCTATGAGCCTATAATTATTACAAAATTTTTTTTGAAATCCATACATGTCAGGTTAGAAGGCCTCTGTCCAAACCCTCCTCTGCACAACAGTAGTCTTCCTACAATGGAAGATTTTTTGGGGGACAGAGTCTCCCTCTGTAGCCAGGCTGGAGTACAGTGGTGCGATCTCAGCTCACTGCAGCCTCCACCTACCAGGTTCAAGCGATTCTCCTGCCTCAGCCTCCCAAGTAGCTGGGACTACAAGCATGTGCCACCACGCCCAGCTAATTTTTGTATTTTTAGTAGGAACGGGGTTTCACCATGTTGGCCAGGATAGTCTTGATCTCTTGACCTCGCGATCCGAACACCACAGCCTCCCAAAGTGCTAGGTTGCAGGCGTGGGCCACCGCGCTCAGCCCTAGCATGGAAGATTTTCAAAACTAAATAGCACTAGCACAAAATTAACATTCAACCTGCAATAGCTTCCCTCGTTCCACAGGCCTGATTTAAAAGCTTGTGATTTTAGAACCCAAACCATCAAAGATTTCTCAAAAGCTTTTTTCAGCCTGCCAAGTAAGGATAGCTCTAGTAACCACGTGGCCCACTACAAGGTTTGTGTTGGACAGACAAATGTCAAAGCAGACTATTGAGATGGTTGTTCCACAGTGAGCTGGCATATTTCCATTTTATCGCCTTTTAGGGATTTGGGGCTGCTCGCATGAAAGGAGCCAAAGAAGTGGGCCAGAAAGAAGCAGGAACCAGAATCCCACCTAATTCACCCATGGCACACGCCCTGTATACAAATGAATCCAACTCCTTTGCACTTCCAAAATGTTAAGTGAGCATATAGCACAAAGTAATGAAAAGATCTAAACTTATGATCAAAACTCTTTAACTAGACAAACTCAAGCACAAGAAGAGACCTAATGTAAACTGGAAGGAAATTTTATGGTAAGTCTCTCGGTCCCAAAAAATAGTTTAAATCCCATAAAACCTTATTATCTTAGTTGACTCTCCATATATATACACATTTTACAGTATCTTTTGTTAGTGTCAGAAAATGTTTTTGATTGACAAAGAAAAAGTTCCCTTAGGAATTGCATATCAAATTTACCAGCTTTTACATACAGTGTTCTAGTACAGTTAACCTAAGTCACAGAACCTTTTAATATTTAATTACCCCCCTAGGTATTATTAACTACAAATAATAGAAGTACTTAGCTTAGGCTCAATAACTCTACTGCAAAGTAACTGTTCATGTCAATAGTACCTTTGAAATGACAGTAAAACTAAAGGCAAGTCAAATTACTTTTAACTAGATCTCCACATTTACAAATTGACATTTTATTTTGATTTTCTAATTCCCAAGGAATATCAGTTGAATCTCTGGTGTCACGAGATAATATCACAGTAAGACGAAGTTTAAAAATACTTTATTTCCCCCCTAAAAATGTTTTAACATATTTAAGCAATCCTTCTTAAGAAAAACCTGTAAATACGGCCGGGCCCGGTGACTTACACCTGTAATCCCAGCACTCTGGGAGGCCAACATGGATGGATCACCTGAGGTCAGGAGTTCAAGGCCAGCCTGGCCAACACGGTGAAACCCCGTCTCTACTAAAAACACAAAAATTAGCCGGGCATGGTGGTTTGTGCCTGTAATCCCGGCTACTTGGGAGGCTGAGACAGCAGAATCACTTGAATCCGGGAGGGAGAGGTTGCACTGAGCTGAGATCAAGCCACTGCACTCCAGCCTGGGCGACAGAGTGAGGCTCCATCACAAACACACACACGCACACACACACACCTATAAATAACCAAATAAGTTACAAAGGAATTATCCATTCAATTAGAATACTTATGTTGGGATACCATGAAACAACAACTCCCTCAACTTCTCAACTACATTTCAGAGATGAATCAATTTTCAAGGGCCTTTTCAAAAGATATCTACTACATGCATGACATGTACACAAACAGATAAGCACTTAGTGAAATGAGTACTAAAACTGAAATTTTCTACTCACAGACCAATTCATGGAAGACAATTTTTCCACAGATGCAGGAGAGGGTGGTTTTGGGATAAAACTGTTCCACCTCAGATCATCAGGCATTGGATTCTCATAAGGAGAGCACAACATAGATCCCTCATGCACAGTTCACAATAGAGTTCACAGCCAGGCACAGTGGCTCATACCTGTAATCCCCAGCACTTTGGGAGGCAGGGGTGGGTGGATAACTTGAGGTCAGAATTTTGAGACCAGCCTGGCCAACACGACAAAACCCAGTCTTTACTAAAAATACAGAAAAAAAATTAGCTGGGCGTGGTGGGCACCTGTACTCCCAGCTTCTTGGCAGAATGAGACAGGAGAATCACTTGAACCCAGAAGGCGGAGGTTGCAGTGAGCTGAGATCGTGCCACTGCACTTCAGCCTGGGCAACAGAGTGAGATTCCATCTTAAAAAAAAAAAAACAGAGTTTGTGCTCCTATGAAAATCATATGCCACCACTGATCTGACAGGAGGTGGAGCTCAGGTGGAAATGCTGCAGCCCAGTTCCTAACAGGCCACGGACTGGGCCATTGCCTGTCTGTGGTCTTGGGTTTGGGGACTCCTGTATTAGAGTGCTCTAAGAATTCACCCAGTCCCATTCCAAGATACAAGCTTGAATTTATAAGGCTAAGGTCTACTTGAAAACAAGGCTGAAAAGCTAAGCTTGTGAATGTTACGTACATTAATGCATCTAAATATATGTACTTCTCAGTGTATCTCCAAAAGAAACAGAAAGAACCCTAACTCTAAAAGAGCCTGAATGGGAACACTAAAAGATTATATTTATACAAACAATATTATGCAGCTCCTGATTCTCAGCCAGCTGCTTGATTTCTCAAAATAGATGACTTTATTGAGCACGTCTGATATCATCCGTACACAGAAGGACAGCTGAATCCAAGCACATGATTGGTTTGGGGCCTTCCAGGACTTAACAATGCTGAGAATTCTGTGCCCTCTGGCCTACTATACCAGACTCACATCTCACTCTATATTCCACTTCTTGTGTCTTTCTCACTCCAGGACAGTTAAAGATGGGGTGTGATTCTGAACACTTATCTCATAGGAAGGCAATTTCACAACTTGCTTTCCATATTGAACAAAACCCTCTATATAAGGGAAACTTTCCAAAACCAGGTGTCATTTGTTACCATCGCATTTATGCGACACAAAAAACAGACACGTTTAGAGAAGGGAAATAACAATATTATGTCATGCAAATCTAAATTAGGAAAAGAGAAAAGCTGTGGTAAAACAAAAAGCATTAAGCCCCTGGCCTTATGAATTTGCACCAAAAGCCTAAACTCTCTAGGCTTCAGTTTTTTTTATCTGCAAAATAAAGGCTAGAAAACAGAACTTCTAGCTCAACCTAGAAAACAAAAAGACTATAAATCTTTAAATCAAATTATAATCATTTAAAAAACAAAATCAATGACCTGTCAACTTAAAAAATGTACAAAATAAAAGCTACTCTTAACACTTATGGCTTAATTTCTTAATAATTTTAGAAAAAAAATGCAGTGATAAACTAATTTAACTTCTATAATTCGTGAAAAAGTCCAGAGACACTGGCTATCCCGTGATACTGCCTTTTTTTCCCGTCTCAGTTGATTATTCTGAGGGTCCACGGAAATGCTGTATATGAAAATGTAAGATATCATTCTTTGAAAAGCAAACGTCACTAACAATAATAAATAGTAATATACATACCATGAGTCACTACTAGATGCCTAACCTTGTGCTAAGTGCTTTAGAATACTGGGTCAGTTTCATCAGCACAAATGAATGGAATAAAAGAGGATGCTATTAAAAATTTAAAAATCAACATTACAGGTAAAGGGTGGTTGTAAATGAACTGAGGGGGAAATAATTGGGGTTTCAATCTGATCTAGTGAGAAATGTAAGCGAAAGAAAAGAAGGGAAAGTAAACAGTTAAGCCTACATAGAAAAGCTTTTCTTTGACCCCAAGTGTGAGTCACAGACATTTGGCCTGGTAACTGTCCTTCACAGATGACTATACTAACTGCCATTATCCCTAAAATTCTACTTTCAGTTTTTAGTAAAGCATTCCTTCTTCTCTTTTTGGATATTTTCTCCCTATGGGACAAAAGACTGTCTGAATAAATAGTGCTAGAGGAAGTGATGCGCAAAGTA